AAAAAGCCCGAAATGTCAATATTTAAGGAGTTATGAGCATTTTAAAATTGGCTATTTTTCCTCTTTAAATATCTGCAATCAAAATGATGCCAAAAACCCCGAAATGTCAATATTTAAGGAGTTATGAGCATTTTAAAATTGGCTATTTTTCCTCTTTAAATATCTGCAATCAAAATGATGCCAAAAACCCCGAAATGTTAATATTTAAGGAGTTATGATCATTTTAAAATTGGCTATTTTTCCTCTTTAAATACCTTCAATCAAAATGACGCTAAAAACCCCGAAATGTCAATATTTATGGAGTTATGAGCATTTTAAAATTGGCTATTTTTCCTCTTTAAATATCTGCAATCAAAATGATGCTAAAAACCCCGAAATGTCAATATTTAAGCAGTAATGAGCATTTTAAAATTGGCTATTTTTCCTCTTTAAATATCTGCAATCAAAATGATGCTAAAAACCCCGAAATGTCAATATTTATGGAGTTATGAGCATTTTAAAATTGGCTATTTTTCCTCTTTAAATATCTGCAATCAAAATGATGCTAAAAACCCCGAAATGTCAATATTTAAGCAGTAATGAGCATTTTAAAATTGGCTATTTTTCCTCTTTAAATATCTGCAATCAAAATGATGCCAAAAACCCCGAAATGTCAATATTTAAGGAGTTATGAGCATTTTAAAATTGGCTATTTTTCCTCTTTAAATATCTGCAATCAAAATGATGCTAAAAACCCCGAAATGTCAATATTTATGGAGTTATGAGCATTTTAAAATTGGCTATTTTTCCTCTTTAAATATCTGCAATCAAAATGATGCTAAAAACCCCGAAATGTCAATATTTAAGGAGTTATGAGCATTTTAAAATTGGCTATTTTTCCTCTTTAAATATCTGCAATCAAAATGATGCTAAAAACCCCGAAATGTCAATATTTAAGGAGTTATGAGCATTTTAAAATTGGCTATTTTTCCTCTTTAAATATCTGCAATCGAAATGATGCCAAAACCCCGAAATGTCAATATTTAAGGAGTTATGAGCATTTTAAAATTGACTATTGTTCCTCTTTAAATATCTGCAATCAAAATGATACTAAAAACCCCGAAATGTCAATATTTAAGAAGAACATTTTGAGGCTCAAACATGTTCGCATAGAACATTTTGAGGCTCAAACATGTTCGCATAGAACATTCTGAGGCTCAAACATGTTCGCATAGAACATTTTGAGGCTCAAACATGTTCGCATAGAACATTTTGAGGCTCAAACATGTTCGCATAGAACATTTTGAGGCTCAAACATGTTCGCATAGAACATTTTGAGGCTCAAACATGTTCGCATAGAACATTTTGAGGCTCAAACATGTTCGCATAGAACATTTTGAGGCTCAAACATGTTCGCATAGATCATTTTGAGGCTCAAACATGTTCGCATAGAACATTTTGAAACTCAAACATGTTCGCGTAGAATATTTTGAGGATCAAACATGTTCGCATAGGAGATTTGAGACTCAAACATGTTCGCATAGAACATTTTGAGACTCAAACATGTTCGCATGGAACATTTTGAGGCTCAAACATGTTCGCGTAGAACATTTTGAGGCTCAAACAAGTTCGCATAGAACATTTTGAGGCTCAAACAAGTTCGCATAGAACATTTTGAGGCTCAAACATGTTCGCATAGAACATTTCGAGACTCAAACATTTTCGCATAGAACATTTTGAGACTCAAACATTTTTGCATAGAACATTTTCAGACTCAAACATGTTCGCATAGAACATTTTGAGACGCAAATATGTTCGCATAGAACATTTTGAGACTCAAACTTATTCGCATAGAGCATTTTGAGACTCAAACATATTCGCATAGAACATTTTGAGGCTCAAACATGTTCGCGAAGAACATTTTGAGGTTTAAACATGTTCGCGAAGAACATTTTGAGGTTCAAACATGTTCGCGAAGAACATTTTGAGGTTCAAACATGTTCGTATAGAACATTTTGAGACTCAAACATGTTCGCATAGAACATTTTGAGGCTCAAACATGTTCGCATAGAACATTTCGAGGCTCAAACATGTTCGCAGAGAACATTTTGAGGCTCAACCATGTTCGCATAGAACATTTTGAGGCTCAAATATATTCGCATAAAACATTTTGAGGCTCAAACATTTTCGTATAGAACATTTTGAGGCTCAAACATTTTGAGGCTAAAATATGTTCATATAGAACATCTTGAGGCTCAAACATGTTCGTATAGAACATTTTGAGGCTCAAACATGTTCGCATAGAACATTTTGAGGCTCAAACATGTTCGCATAGAACATTTTGAGGCTCAAACATGTTCGCATAGAACATTTTGAGGCTCAAACATGTTCGCATAGAACATATTGAGGCTCAAACATGTTCGCATAGAACATTTTGAGGCTCAAACATGTTCGCATAGAACATTTTCAGGCTCAAGCATGTTCGCATAGAACATTTTGAGGCTCAAACATGTTCGCATAGAACATTTTGAGGCTCAAACATGTTCGCATAGAACATTTTGAGGCTCAAACATGTTCGCATAGAACATTTTGAGGCTCAAACACATTCGCATAGAACATATTGAGGCTCAAACATGTTCGCATAGAACATTTTGAGGCTCAAACATGTTCGCATAGAACATTTTGAGGCTCAAACATGTTCGCATAGAACATTTTGAGGCTCAAACATGTTCGCATAGAACATTTTGAGGCTCAAACATGTTCGCATAGAACATTTTGAGGCTCAAACATGTTCGCATAGAACATTTCGAGGCTCAAACATGTTCGCATAGAACATTTTGAGGCTCAAACATGTTCGCATAGAACATATTGAGGCTCAAACATGTTCGCATCGAACATTTTGAGGCTCAAACATGTTCGCATAGAACATTTCGAGGCTCAAACATGTTCGCATAGAACATTTCGAGGCTCAAACATGTTCGCATCGAACATTTCGAGGCTCAAACATGTTCGCATAGAACATTTTGAGGCTCAAACATGTTCGCATAGAACATTTTGAGGCTCAAACATGTTCGCATAGAACATATTGAGGCTCAAACATGTTCGCATAGAACATTTTGAGGCTCAAACATGATCGCATAGAACATATTGAGGCTCAAACATGTTCGCATAGAACATTTTGAGGCTCAAACATGTTCGCATAGAACATTTTGAGGCTCAAACATGTTCGTGTAGATCATTTTGAGGCTTAAGCATGTTCGTGTAGAACATTTTGAGGCTTAAACGTGTTCGTGTAGAACATTTTGAGGCTTAAACGTGTTCGTGTAGAACATTTTGAGGCTCAAACATGTGCGCATAAAACATGTCAAGAGATAATATACTTCTTCCATGTTATCCATGCCTAAAGACCCAAGAGCTTTTACAGGTCATATATAGAAAGAAGTACTTATGAAGGTCGTCCATATACAGGAAAATGTTTGAAGTTTAAATACTTTCTAAAAGTTTTCTACATTCAGAAGATTTTCTTAAGAAAGACCCTTTAAAAGTTTTTATAGAGAGACAATTTGTAGACAGAGATATTTTAAAAGATCTCCTACAGAATATCTTTAATAGATTTTCTATATACCGAATATCTTTTAAATGAATTCCACGGACAAAGACTTTCCAAAATTTCATGGACAGATAACCTTTTAGAACCTCTAAAATATATTTTATGAACAGAGTGTTCCTTTTAGAGGACTTCTATAGACCGAAGAACTGTCAATATAAAGAAGAATCGTACTGGTCTTCCAATGAATGGAGACCTATTAAAGGTCCTTCGAAGACAGAAAATTTTATTGACGTATTCTGTAACCAAAAAAAAACCAAAGCTTTTTTTATAAGCAGAAGATCCTTTAAGAGAACTACAGAAGGTAAGGCAGGGTGCCTTTCAAGGATCTTCTTTAGACAGACGATTTTTGGGAACTTTTACAAACAGACGACAGTTAAGTTTTTTACATAGACAGATACCTATCCGAAATCTATTTTCTAAAGAAACTGTAATAACATTTTAAATCTTTTTTCCTCTTCTTAAATCTTTCGAACCACTGTTCCCCATAAAAATATTAGCATGGTGTTATGTACGTCTATAGTTTTCATTAGTTTGTGGTCATTGTAAGTGGTGGTGTTGTTGTCGTTTTTCATTTCAATTTTATGGCGATCCAATCTGATACGATTCATCCATCCATCCGTCAATTGCATGAGAGACCGAAAGAGGGAGCACACAGCCAATGAGTTCAAGTGTAAAAAGCCAACAAATTTTGTTGTGTGAGCACTTCTTTCTCTTTGAAGTTAATTTTTGTGTTTGATGATGAAGTATGTACTTGTTGTTGCTGTTGTTGGTGTTATTATGACTTTTCTGGTATTCTTTTTAAAATGTTTGTTCGCTCATCTCTCGATCAATTGAAAGTAAATTTTGAAGTGTTTGCCAGTCAGACAGACAGACGTCGACTCGACGTCGTCAATCATATGCTTAAATTGATATTGTTTCTCTGTGTTTTGACTGTTGTTGGGCTGATGGGTTGGTTGGTTAGTGGCTCTTCTGTGTAACATGTGACTGACTGTCAGACACAGACTGACTGACTGCCCATGTTGATGGTTGCATGTGGGTTTGTATGTACTACCGTTGCTGTCGTTTGTTTGTTGTCGTCTACTATCATCGTCAATGTAATCGTTATAACACCCTGATAAATTTGTTGTAATATTCTCATAAAGTTGAAAATCGAGAACGTGAGAGTGAAAGAGAGCCGATTTTAAACCATATTTCATTTGTGAGTTTTTTTTTGTTTAAACAGTGGGACAGGTGGTTTGATGGTTGAGGGAGTTTAAAATTAAAACAAGCTAAACGCGTTTGTATTTTAGGTGTTTTTGGAAATGGTACTAAATTTGATACAATTTGGTTTTGGTTGAACGGATTGATATGGAAATGTAAAATGTGGTATTGGGGTATCTGCTGGTGGGTAGGGTTGAGCTTAACAGCCTGTTCCACGATATCGAAAGAACACGTTCGCAAAACTTTTACACGACAAACAGCTGATTTCCGTTCCACTAAAATCCATCAGAACGAAAATTTGCACGAAAATCAAAGCGAACGAAAACGTAAGCGTTTCAGTGTAATTTTGCGTTCCACTAACTTTTTTCTTTCGTACGCATGCGAACACAAATGTCAAAATCAGTCACTTGTGTGTTTGCTGTCGAATGATACAAATTAAGGAAAATTGTTTTAACATAAACATTCCTTGATTGAAAATGGAAAGAAAAATGTAAGTAAAAATAATAAATGCAATTTAATCTGTGAACAACAAATATATATTTTTTTATTTTCTCAATTCCAGCACGAAAAAACTACACAGCTGCGGGCACTAGTTGAGTATATGGAGGAGAATCCTAAGTTCGCCAGAGGAGTGCCAATTTTTGGAAGCAGCAGGCAATCCCTTGAAGACCACTGGAAGACACAAACCTAGAAAAATTCATTTTTTATTATTTCAAAAATGTAAAAATACAATCATACTTACTGGTTGTTAGGTACTTCAAATAAATTCGAAGCATCTCTTAAATCTCTTTTTTTGCCTTATTTCGCGATTAATTTTTCCAAATAATATTTAGCAACACTGAATGACGTAAGGCTATGCGAAAGAAAGAACGAAAGTTAGTGGAACGCATTCTTATACGAAAGTGAGTGAGTAGCCTTCGTTCGCACAAATTTTCTTTCGAGATCGTGGAACAGGCTGTAAGAGTTAAGTTTGGAAATTCGTTCAGCAAGCGTAAAAAAGATACGAAATGGTACTACACACGCAATACGTGCTTGAAATCTGAAATTTGGCATTGGGATCACTGTTAGTATGTAGGATTGACATTTTGAGATGGTTTTAAAAATACGTACTAAATTTAGGTAATAGCTGGAGTTGAAAGTCTAAAATTTAGCATTAGAATCCCCTTTGGTGCGGTTAGGATGGGTGGTGGGGGACCTGGAAATACGTACTAAAAAGTACGAAAAGAAGTAAATAGTATTAAATTTGGTATTTGGGGAAGAAATTTGGGGTGAGAGTCTTCGATGTTGTGTAGGATAGAAACATTAAAGGGTTTCTCGAAATTCTAGAAATAAGTGTACTTTTGGTGGTATTGCGTGCTTGAAATGTGAAATTTGGCATTGCGATCACTGTTAATATGAAGGATTGACATTTTGAGGTGGTTTTGAAAATTCGTACTAAATTTAGGTAAGGGATTGAGTTGGAAGTCTAAAATTTGGCATTGGGATCCCCTTTGGTGCGGTTAGGATGAGTGGCGGGGAAATTTGGGGTGGGAGTCTTCTATGTTGTGTGGTATAGAAACATCAAAGGGTTTCTCGAAATTCTAGCAATAAGTGTACTTTTAGTAGCACATTTGTTGGTATGGCGTGCTTGAAATTTGGCATTGGGATCACTGTTAGTATGTAGGATTGAGATTTTGAGGTGGTTTTGAAAATACGTACTAAATTTAGGTAAGGGATTGAGTAGGAAGTCTAAAACTTTGCATTAGGTTCCCCTTTGGTGCGGTTCGGATTCGTTGCGGAGAAATTGAAAAATATAAAATTGTTATTTGAGGAAGGAATTGAGCTGGAAATCTGAAATTTGGCTTGAGAGTCTTCGATGTTGTGTAGGATAGAAACATCAAAGGGTTTCTCGAAATTCTAGCAAAAGTGTAAAGCAAAAGCACTAAAATCCACTAAATTTGGTGCCATTTGCAATCATGAGAACGTATTGTGGTAAGATCTTGAAATTTCGTATGAGAATCAATTCTTGGAATTGGGGTTGTTATAAGGAGGTGGTGGAAATGTATAATAACTGCAAGAACTGTACTAAATTTGGTACCATATTGTTGTGGGTGTAGTGATGAAGCTAGAATTATAAAATTCTGTATTGGGTTCCCTATTGGCGGTAGGTTTGCTATAAAGAGAGGGTTTTGGAAATATGTAATACAAGTGAATGAAAAGTACTAAATAGTACCATATTTGGTACATTTTGGTAGTTAGCGGACATATAGTGTTTGAAATCTGAACTTTGGTATTAGGGTCGCTGTTCATGTGTACCCTGGCAATATGAAGGTGGTTTCGGAAATGTGTACTATAATTGATTGAAAAGTACCAAGTGGTACTAAATTGGATATTGAGTGAAGGAATATATATAGAAAATTCCGGAATTAGATATTTAGACTACTGGGGGTTCTTGTGCTTGAGATTTGGCGGTAGCTTAGCAATGTGTACTGTTCTTGTACGAAAAATACTAGATGGTACTAAATTTGGTATTTGGTGAAGGTAGAGGGATGGAATCTTCAAATTTGATATCTGTTGGTATCTTGAATTGAGATATGGAGGTGGTTTTGTACGAAAAGTACTAAATTTGGTATTGGGTGATCGAAAAGAGATGAAATCCTAAAATTTGATAAAGTTGTGTTGGTGTTTGTGGTGGTAGTTTTGAAATCGCGTATTATAATTGCTTGAAAAGTACTAAATAGTATTAGTTTTGGATCACTGTTGGTGTCTAGGGTGACGAGATGTATATTGCTTTGGATGTGTGTACTAAATGTTACTACATTTTGGTAGCGGATGAAGGGATAGAGCTGAAATTCTGAAACTTGATTTTAAGGTCACCGTTGTTATCTAGTGGGACAGGAAAAATTGGATATGGTTTTTCTAATGGTTTTACTAATATCCTCTTCGGTAAATTTTAAAATGAAAGATTTTGAAGAATTTTTGTTATAAAAGGTAAACATTTTCTCATTATTCTTCCCGAAAAAGGGAAGGCTTACACAATATATAAAACCCTGTAAGTCTGAAAATTTTGTACGATGGACTGGACAAATTGTAAATTTTGAGTACAAACAAGTAAAAAAGCAGTAAGTTCGGCCGGGCCGAACTTTTAATACCCTCCACCATTTGGTACAAAAAAAAAATAAATAAATAAAATCCGTTTAAAATTCTGTTAAAATCTTAAAAATACCGAATGCCTATAGGACGACGTAACTGCATAGGCAACTTTTGACATAAGTTATTGCTAATAATATTTAAATGCGAAACTTGAAGAAAAATCTGTTTATAATGTAGCTAAAATCATCAAAATACCGAATATAGGGGGTACCGTTATAGGGGGGCTATACGAAGGCATGGACCTGCACAGACAATTTTCTGGCATGGGCTGAAGTATCCGTTACGAACTTCACATGCGAAATTTGAAACAATCCCGGTGAATAATGTCGCTAAAATCATCAAAATACCGAATATCGGGGGTACGGTATATGGGGGCTATACGAAGACGTGGATCTACATGGCCCATTTTCTGTTTTATGTTGCAGTATCTATTACGAACTTCAAATACCAAATTTGGAACGATTCCGTTAAATAATGTCGCTTAAATCATCAAAATACCGAATATTGGGGGTACCGTTATATCGGGGCTATTTTTTGACTTAGGATGTAGCATCCATTACGAACTTCAAATACCAAATTTGAAACGATTCCGATAAATAATGTCGTTAAAATCATCAAAATACCGAATATCGGGGGTACCGTTATATGGGGGCTATACGAAGACGTGGACCTGCACAGATAATTTTCTGTCTTAGGCTGTAGTATCCATTACGAACTTCAAATGCCAAATTCGAAACAATTCCGGTGAATAATGTCGCTAAAATCATCAAAATACCGAATATCGGGAGGTACCGTTATATGGGGGCTATATGATAACTTGGACCTACATGGCCCATTTACGAACCTACTGGCAAAATATACATGTGTGCAAAATTTTAGTCTTCTATTTAAATTTGTTCGAAAGATAGCGTGATTACAACAGACAGACAGACGGACAGACAGACAGACGGACATGGCTAAAACGTCTTATAATTTTACGCTGATCAAGAATATATACACTTTGTTGGGTCTGACATGAGTATTTCGATGAGTTACAAACGGAATGACAAAATTAATATACCCTCCATAGTATGGTGGAGGGTATAAAAATGGCCTAACACAAATTTTTGGGGCGAATCTAAAATTTTAAGGTGGGCTTTTTGCGCTGACGATGCAGCACTTGTTATTTCGCCATAAAGACGATTTTTTATAAAAAAAAGTCTCCAAATAGTCCATAAGAGGGTTATTGCGGGGATTCACAAAATATTTATGCAAGATTATGTTCCCTATAATCTCTACTCTCTAAAATAGGCATTTTCGTCTCTTTAGGTATTTCGTAAAAAATCCGGTTCCTTTAAGTGGATTATCATGTGACCACCTGTTAGATAGGAGTTTTTTAATAAGCTTTTATATTATACCTACCTATGTTGTGTATACCGGTAAGGTAGATCTGAGGGTTTAGAATCCACACTTCCGAATGCCCAATAAAATCTCGAAATTTGATTGAAAACATCTAGCTCTGAAGATATCAGAAAGTTTTTACCTAATCCTCACTTGGCTCTTTTATTAATGAAGACAACAAAACTCTTCTGTCCAGTGTGGCCATTTTAGCATTTTTGCAGCTAAATTTAGCATTTATTTTTTGTATTTAGCAGCAAAATTTTCATTAAGCATTTTTCTTAGCTGTTTGAAATTTTTTTTTTGTCCAAGATTTTTCTTATATTTTACTACTTTCTTCCAATTTTTCTTAAATCTAAACAATTAAATTACATGAACATTTTGAACAAAGCTACTATTTTAGAAAAGCAATGACAAAAGCTAAGTACATATGAATGGGCAAACATAAACTCTACGATTTATTTTTGGATATGTGAATTTAAAAGTTAAAAACTCTTTAAATAAAAACCCGTAAAGTTTAAACATTTAGTTACGCAGAAGTTGAAAGAGTTTTCAGTGGCATAAACCCTATAAAAGTAGAAATTAGAAATGGAATGATATTATAAACTATGAATTTACTTCTTTACATTAGATGCGTATTGAAAAGGTTAAAAAAGGTTGCGAAATTTTGAAGATTACGAACGATCTCATTCTAATCATCATTCAGTCTCTAATTTTCAAGTAGCAAGATTTTATAAATTTTAAAAAATCATAATAAATTTAAAAACAGATATGGACCTCCTTTGGAATAACCTTCATGGATCTGGAACCAATTTTTTTTCAAAAACCTGTCATCTCTAAAAAATTTAATGGTTTGGACCGAAGTAATGTATATTCTTATTAGATTAAAGCTTAAGAAAGAGAGTCATGATAATGGCTACTCAGAACAATATTTGTAAATTAAGGTTTCTCTACATGAATTTTTGTTAAAAAAACGATCAGAAGTGCGTCATTCGTGTATTTCTTAACTCGTCTGGAATTCACTTTCAGCATTTCGATGCAATAGACATTTTGGTATTTTTTCCCACAAAAATTGGGACCCATTTTACCCGCTAACTGTTATCCGATGGCCATCCAAAATGCTTGGCAGGGCCGATATCGAACCCCCACTTAAAATTTCCTAAGGATCGGACGATAATTATGACGTGTCAGAAAACTTTCAGTTTTTGGTCCATATAAACCCCTAAATATTTTACTATCATCTCCAAAAACATTAGGCTTCTATTCTGACACTAACTTCACCTCTATCCAACATTTCGTGAGGATCGGGCCATAAATGTGCCTCCTAACTATATAGTATAATAAGGAGTAAAAATATTACAAAATGTAAAATTCAATATTGTAAGTCAAAATGAAAATATCTCATGCGACAAAAATATGACAAAATGCAAATTTCAATCAAAAAAATGCAAAAAAAAATCAATATTCTCATCTTTATTGGGATTCTTTCATGCGTTTTTGTCTAGATTTCGTCTTTCCTGTGAAGACGACGTTCTGAATTGACAAGATTTGTCAAAATCAGTCCAACTATTTTTGAGATGTAAGCATTCTAGGGAATATATGTCGCTATATATAGCCGATATTTTCACTTTCGACATCTACGTAACGGTCAGAATTGACCTTTTCGTCTATTTGATGTTTCACCGGAATCAAGAATATTGGCAGTTTAATGGGAAAATTGTTTGTTTTAAACACAAAACTTATGGTCTATTTCATCCGCTCAAAATTATCCGATGACCATCCAAATTGGAAAGCTTCTGGCCAGCCCTAAGCTCTAGCCCCATGTTAATTTCCGCGTCGATTGGCCTATAATTGTGACCTGTAGCGTGATTGCAAATTAACATCGGTTCAGATCAGCGAGATTGAAAGATCAATATATACTTTCCTATGTGGGAAGCAAAAATTTCGAAGTGGTACATAATGTTTGCTCCACTCAAACTTATAATACCCCCAACACATAGTGTTCCGGGGTTTACAAATAATGCATTTATATTATATATAAATACATTATAATAATGTATTTATATATTTATATTATTATTATATACATTATTACAATAATGTATTTATATTTATTTTTTGGCATATTAATTTTTTGTTTGGCATTTTTTAGCATTTTTGGCTGCAACACTATTTTAGATCTGGTCACACTGTTTCTGTCCCACTGTACCATCCATTCAAAACAAATTGACTTCTCGTTGTTTATGCTCTCACTCAGAGAGCTTTTTTTTATTGTCGAAATGCTGGGCTGTGTTGTTGTTTTTTTTTTTTTTTTGTTTCTTACTTAAGTTTCTTCGCTTGCTGTTACTTAAGATTCTTAGTTACGGTTTGACGCTGCTCTACTGAGCACACAACATTCGGAACGAACGGCACATGCATAAAACAGTCGGGAGCTTGTTGTTGCGGGTTGTTGTTATTATTTCAAGTAATCAGGCGCAAACGATCGCATAAAGTAAAATAAATAAGTAGTAATAATAAGAATCTGAAATAAAAATTAAACGGTACGACACGGATAGGCGGCGGTAGCGTGTGCCATACTTATGTTCAGCTAAAGTAACAAAAAATACTAGAAAAGAATACAACGAAAAAAGAAAAAAAAACAAACAAAACATAAAAAAGCCTACCAAGTGAATGAAGCGCTAGAATTACGTATTTGCATGTCAAACAGCGGCAGATATATCGCAAGTGAGTGAACAAGTGCAGTGAACAGAAAAAAGTTTCGAAGATCGGAAAAAACGCCTGCTAAAGAAGCTTTTTTTTTTTTTTTGCTGAAAATTCTTTAGCAAATTATTAATGAGAAGAAAAGTAAATATCGCAACAAAGAAGAATGAAAAACAAACAAACAAACACAACACTTGTAGCATGTCCATAAAAATATCAACAGAAACAAATAATTAATATTTTCGTTCCATACGAATTTCCGTTTAAAACTAATTAAACCGTTATGTGTGCCAATGCAAAAACAGTGCCTAAAACAGGTAGTACCCTATAAGAGAAGAATGAAAATAGGGTATGCCGAGAAAAGAGTGTTGAGATTTTGAAAAAAGGTTTAAGAAAAAAAAATGAACATTTAAAATGTTGATTTCAGTTACTTTAGAAACGTGCTAAGTGGCGATGAAAACAAGTTGTGAGAAAATTAAAATTGAAACCTTGTCATAAATAAAAAAAAATATTGGGAATGTAGTTGTGAATGCAATCGTTATTTTATATGTAAAAAATATTGAAATTAATTTTATTGGAATTCACTTCAAGAGATAAACTTGGATTAATTTATTTCCAAATTTGAAAGCAGTAGTCGGATTGACAGATATACACTGGTGGCCAAAACTAAAGCAACTTAAATCGCAAAGACAATAAATGTAGTGTAACTTTTACAAAAATAAACAAATCGTAATTATTTTTCCAGTTTTAAATGAGGGGTTTAATTCACTTTTAAGAAACTAAAAATAAAAGTACAAAAATAATTTTGAACGAAAAACAAGTAAAAAAACATTAAGTTCGGCCGGGCCAAACTTTTAATACCCTCCACCTTAGGGTAAAGGAAACATTAGAAGAAATGTGGCAAAAACCATTAAAATGCCGAATATCGGGAGGTACCGTTATATGGGGGCTCTACCAAATCGTGGACCTACACATACAAGGTTCCGCCAACAGAGCTAGAACCCATTATGACCTACAAATACCAATTTTCAGGCAAATACGTGAAAAAAAAGGGGCAAAAATCATCAAATTACCGAATATCGAGAGGTACCGTTATATGGGGGCTATACCAAAACGTGGACCTATAATTACAATGACTCGCCACACGAACTGGGACCCATTATGATCTACAACTACCAAATTTTTAGTGAAATTCGTGAAAAAATCAGTCAAAAATCATCAAAATACCGAATATTGGGAGCTACCGTTATATGGGGACTATACCAAAACGTGGACCTATACATACAATGTTTCTCCACCCGAACTAGGACCCATTATGACTCACAAATACCAATTTTTACACAAATCAGTGAAAAAATGTTGCAAAAACCATCAAAATACCGAATATCGGGAGGTACCGTTATATGGGGGCTATACCAAATCATGGACCCATACATGCAATGTTTCGCCACCGGAGCTGGAACTCATTATGACCAACAAATACCAATTTTTAGACAAATCCGTTAAAAACTGTGTCAAAAATAATCAAAATATCGAATATCGGGAGGTACCATTATATGAAGGCTATACCAAAACGTGGACCTATACATGCTATGTTTTGCCACACATACAGGGACCCGTTATGACCTACAAATACCAATTTTCAGCCAAATCCGTTAAATAATGTGGCATAAATCATCAAAATACCGAATATCGGGAGGTACCGTTATATGGGGACTATACCAGAACGTGGACCGATATATCTCATTTTCAATACCAACCATCCTAGACACAATACCAATTGCTCTGCTAAATTTTGGCGCTCTACGTCAAATAATGTGGGCTGTATCGTGATTTCAACAGACAGACAGACGGACAGACAGACAGACGGACATCGTTAAATCGACTTAGAATTTTATGCTGATTATGAATATATATACTTTATGGGGTCTACGACGAATATTTAAGGATGTTACAAACGGAATGACAAAGTTAATACACCCTCCTTTCCAAGGTGGAGGGTATAATAATATGTGGAAAACTAAAATGACCCAATTTTTGCTTGGTCAAAACTAAAGCAACTTTTGATTTTTTATTTTAAAATAATTAAATTTTGGCTAGTAGTCGACAGCATAACCACTATTTTTGATAGCAGCTGCACACCTACGAGGCATTGAATTGTCCAACACATCTTTGTAAACAAACCGATCCACAACTTCCTTTATTTTATGGATAGGCCCAAGTCCATAGAAAGAAAAACAGCGCCCCGCCTTTTTTGACCCTCCCTCATGCTCCACTGTACCTTTGCAACACTGCGGCTTGAGTCCATCATTTTTTGGCCTTCTCACCGTAAAATAGATCACGTCTGAGCCTTTAATATTAAACGTAGACTCATCCCAGAAATAATATTTTTTCCATTGTGCTTGATTCCACTTAATATTATCGTTTCCGAAAGCCTTTTTGATTTTTTCAGATATAAATGGTTTTTTGATGTCTTGCGGGCATGCAGACCAGCTGCCACTACTCGTCTACGCACTGATCTCGAGCTTATATCCAATGATTGCTCTCTCACCAATCCAGTTGAACTCTTAAATAGCTGTTTTTTATTTCTCTCACAATTTGTGGATCAGTACGGGCTGAAGTTTTTCACGGCCTTCATCCGTTATAGACTGTCCAGTTTCAAAAAACTGACTTAGTGTACAGAAATAATTATGAAATCACATAAATGTTTATGAAATATTTCTCGGAAATCATTTTCTGTGATAATTTGCTGTCTTATTCAGGTACTGTATTTGCTTTTAGCCATGTTTAAATTTTCTTTGGGCAGTACTTAAAAAACGAAAAGAAAAACACATACTGTTGTAAAAAACTTCTCGAAAAGGATTTATGACAAGCGAAATTGTCGAAGGAAGCAAAAAGCGATAAATATCACAGTAAAAACAACTGAAATTGCAGCGGTTATATGAATGTACAACAGAGTTGCTTTTGTTTTGTCCAAGCCAAAATCGGATTAATTGACTTTACCAAACATTATTTTTTATATAAAAATGAATTTTGATTTTATGTTTTAGGTTTTTAAAAAGTGAATAAAGAACCTAATTTAAAACAAGAAAAACTTTCTCATTTTTCTTAATTTTTGAAAAAGTTACAGGGCATTCATTCTCCTTGTAATTTCAGTTGCTTTAGTTTTGGCCACCAGTGTATCACCTGAGCTCATAATTCGGCCTCAGCTTGATTATAAAAATTTTGATTTTTTAAACCCTCCACAATACATAGTATAGAGGGTATATTAAGTTTGTCAATCCGTTTGTAACTTATCGAAATAATAATTTTAGACAAAGCAAAGTGTATACAGGGTAAGATATAAAAAACTGCAACAAAGTCACACGCTGCCCGAATATTGCTCTGCGGTTTTTTGGCACATTCCCGGCGAAGCGATTGCTTTAGGTGATCGACATTTTGGTATTTTTTAGTGCCAACATTGCTTACCAATACTCCAGACACAATAGTCTAACGGTTTGGTATCCGGAGATTTTGTTGGCCATTGTGCGCTGGAAACGAAACGAGGAACCTCATTTTGTAACCATTCTTAGGTGGCGTGTGCTGAGTCCTGTTGGAATGTCCAAGGTCTGCGGCCAAAATGCGTGCGTGCCCAAGGCTTTAATACATCCTTCCAAATATTTTCGCGATAATATACGACATTTATTCTAATGCCACGGTCGATAAATACGGGCGGAGAGCGACCATCGGCTGTTATGGCAGCCTACACCATCACCATGGCCGGCACTTGAGTTCTGGTGGCCAACCGAAGGTGCACATTTTCAGCTCACCTCTTTGGCAAGTAAACACGATCATTTTGTTTGTTTGCAAACTGCTGGACAACAAATGTTTTCTCATCGGTGACGGAGAAAACCAAATTCGGCAGTTCACCACTTTCGGCCCAGCGAAGCAACTCTTTAGCTCTTTTGAGTCTATTTTCTTTCTGTTGCGGTGTAAGTTCTTGCACTTTTTGGAATTTCAATGACTTTACCCTGAGCTCATTTTTCAATATTTGCCGAATGGAATATTGCGATATGTTCAGCTCACGAGCCATTTTTCGGCCACTGCGACGCGGGTTTCGATCAAGTCGCTTCTTTACTTTTCGAACCATTTCTGCCGATGTTGCTGTTTTCTTCCGTCCACTTCCTTGACGTCGGGCTACGCTATCAGCATCACGGTAAAGAGCGATTGTACGAAACACAAAAGATATATTCACATTTAAATGCTTGAGTGCTCTAACGATAGTCACTTGTGGTTTTCCAGCCAAATATAAAGAAATCGCACTATCACGCTTGAATTTCATCACGAATAACTTTTTTTCTGGAAATGTTTTACCAAAATGCTTTTGAACGCTTGTAAACAATATAATGACTTGTTACTGGAGTAATTTTAACAGCTGTTGGACGGGTGGTTTAGAAATGATAGAATTCTGCAATTGGTTGCAGTTTTTTCTTCTCACCCTGTTTATTCTTAATCAGCGTAAAATTTTAAGACGATTTAAGACCTGGCCTTCTGTTGTAATCACGCTAGAGTCAAGACGATTAAAGATACGAAGCTAAAATTTTGCACAAGCAGGTCAAGTTCGAAGATGGGCCATATCGGTCCACGAGATCGTATAGCCCCCATATAACGGTACCCCCCGATATTCGGTATTTTGATGATTGTAGCCAATTTTTTTTCAATGAAATGGTGTGAAAATCCACAAAACGAGTTCCTTCTGAATACTTTACCCCCTGAAAAAGTATTGTCTATATAGGTTAACGATATCGTATATACCCCATATAACGGTAGCTCCCTATGTTCGGTATTTTGATGATTTTAGCTACATTTGAAGTTCCTTCCAAGCACTTCACCCCCTAAAAGAGAATTGTCTATATAGGTCCACGTTATCATATAGCCCACAAACAATGGTACCCCCGATATTCGATATTTTGAAGATTTTCGAGACATTATTCATCGGAGTTGTTTAAAATTTCGTATTTAGAATTCGTAATGGGTACTACAGCCTATGACATAAAAACTGCGTATGCAGGCCCATGTCTTAGTATAGCCTCCATATAACGCTATCTCCCAATATTCTGTATTTTGATGATTTAAGCGATATTATTCACCGGAGTTGTTTAAAA